CTTTCCCTTTTTTTTGTTATTTAACTGAATTACGCTTGTTTTATGTGATAGCATTTTTATATGTGGGCTGTGCTTTTTTGACATTTTACAGTTTCAGAAAAAACTAAGCAAGCTAGAAGAACAGCTCAGTAATGAATTACAAGCCAAAGATGAACTAGAACAGAAGTACAGGTGAGACTGTTTTGACATGTTTGATACGTTTATAAAGAAGTTTTATTACACCTTTTGTTTTTGAATGCTTAAAAGCATTTTAATCCACTTTGGGGATTACCAACACTGCAAGCAGATCTCACTGTAAATTGCTGGCTTAAGTCTTGCTACTCCTGTGACAACTGTTTTGGGGAGGTTTTTTTGGTTGTTTTTTTGCCTTAATTCTCCATAAGAGTCTCTGTTGTTTGAGTGATTTCCCCAGTCCTTGAAGTTTCATGTGATTGCTGAAAAGTAGAGTAACTTACATAAAATTAATGAGACATTTCCAAACATCCTAATTTCTGTATAATCAGCAAGGTTTAAAAATATTTTTCAAATTTCTTCAGGTCTACTAATACTCGTTTAGAGAAGATAGTGAAGGAGCTAGATGAAGAGGTAAGTTGGTATTTATTTCGTATTGGAATTAGAACTTTAACATTTGGCTTTTTTCCTTAGGAAACAGCAAATTACTGAGTAGCTGTGCAGTTACAGCAAGTAATAGAAGTTCATTTCTTGCTATTCACAAGCATGAAATTGTTGTCACTGCTAAAATACTTTCATCATGATTTCTGTACTACAACTACACATTTGTTTCCAGAATTCATTTTTTACTCTGTATTTAATTTGGAGGATAGCATGATATAAATATGCCATATAGAATTCTAAAAGTTGAAGATGTGAGCGTAATGTTGCTAGAAGAGGAAGGCCATTCTTTGCATTACTCAAACAGTGTCAGTAAAAGGACCCTACTTACTACCCAGCTTTGCACCTTAGTACTACTACAAATTTGTCATATCTTTAGTGGACGTGTGCAACTTAATGTATTGCTCATCCAGGCGCATGTCAAGACCTTACATTACATCTATGTTTTTGTGCTTCCAGAGTGGCTGCTAGGCAGGTTTACAAGATTTGTGAAATCCAAATGATCAAACAGTCTTTAAGTTGTAAAAGCTCCTGGCCATAGTCGTACTGAGCTGGATTTGGCCACGTGTTCTGACACGCAGTTTGCAGCAGGCAAATAGATTGTGTCAGGGAAGGGACCATGCCCCTGCACTCAGCGCTGGTGAGGCCGCAGCTTGAATACTGTGTTGACTTTTGGGTCCCTCACTACAAGAAGGACATTGAATTGATGGAGCGTGTCCAGAGAAGGGCAACGAAGCTGGTGAGGGGTCTGGAGCACAAGTCTTATGAGGAGCGGCTGAGGGAACTGGGATCGTTCAGTCTGGAGCAGAGGAGGCTGAGGGGAGACCTTATTGCTCTCTACAACTACCTGAAAGGGGGTTGTGGTGAGGTGGATATTGGTCTCTTCTCCCAAGTAACCAGTGATAGGACGAGAGGAAATGACCTCAAGTTGCGCCAGGGGAGGTTTAGACTGGATATTAGGAAAAATTTCTTTACTGAGGGGAGTGGTCAAGCATTGGAACAGGCTGCCCAGGGAGGTGATGGAGTCACCATCACTGGAGGTGTTCAAAAAACGTGTGGATGTGGCACTTCGGGACCTTGGTTTAGTGGGCATGGTGGTGTTGGGTTGATGGTTGGACTTGATGATCTTAAAGGTCTTTTCCAACCTTAATGATTCTGTGATTTTTCCATTACAAGCTAAACTGAGTGCATGAACTGTCTTTTTATAATTTAAAAAATACCACTATTCTGTATGTAATTAGTGTTTTCTTTTTTTTTAAATATATCCAGATAAGTTCAAGGAAGAATGTAGAGTCTGCAGTCAGACAGTTAGAAAGAGAGAAGGCTCTTCTTCAGCATAAGAATACAGAATACCAGAGAAAAGCAGAACATGAAGCAGATAAGAAACGCAATTTGGAAAATGAGGGTATGTTGAACCATGCTTGAAGAATTTTGTTTTGATGTGGATGTTTAAAAGATAAAATAAATGAATTATAATTCACATTGAAGCTTTTTCTTGACAGTTGATTAACAATGTTGAATTGTTTTTTTTACAGTTAACAGCTTGAAAGACCAGCTTGAAGATTTAAAAAAGAGGAATCAGAACTCTCAAATATCCAATGAGAAAATCAATCAGCTGCAAAGACAGGCATGCCAACTTCGTGTATATTCTAAAATAACAGCTGTTTGAAGTACAGATTTTGTTAGCAGTGGAGGGAATTGAAATGTGTAATGGGATTTTTAAAAGCTGTTCTTTCTTGTCATGTTTTGGTGTTCAAAATAATTTTGAAGTACACTCTTTTTTATTTAATCCATAAAATCAAGTATTCTGTAGTAGAAATGGTAGTGTTATATTTTAATTGTCTCTGAAGTATGTTTTTTGCAATCCTTAGTTGGATGAAGCCAATTCTTTGCTGCGATCGGAGTCTGATACTGCAGCCAGGTTAAGGAAGAACCAGACAGAAAGCACAAAGCAAATCCAGCAGCTGGAAGCTAATAATCGAGAACTACAAGATAAGAACTGCCTGCTGGAGAATGCTAAACTCAAACTGGAGAAGGACTTTCTCAATCTTCAGTCAGCTCTAGAATCGGAAAGGAGGGATCGAAGTCATGGATCGGAGATTATCAGTGATTTACAAGGTATTCCCACAAGTGTTCTGAAGTTAAGCTTGCTTCTCATTTCAGAAATAAAAATAGGTTGTGGTGATGTTATTTGAGCTTCAAATTGTGACTAGATTAGCATGCTGTTCTATTCAGCGTTCTGTAAGTGTGGACACACATTTAAGAGAAAATAAGTGATAACATTCATAAAATGTTATTGATAACTTTTTAAATCACCCTGAAGGGAGATGTTCTTAATAATCAGAATTAGAAGCTGTTACATGTCTAAGTAGATACAGTACATTCTTTTTCAAATCACTGCCCAGCCTCACTGATGTTTTGGTCATGTTTAGGTCGAATATCGAGTAAAGAGTGCGTTAGCCAAACTGGAAATGGAGAAGAGACAATTGCAGGAAAAACTTACAGATTTAGAAAAGGTAACAGCACTTCTAAGTGAACATTGGTGTTACATTCTTACAGAATTTTTAAATTTGCACTTTTATTACTTGAGACATGGAGATAAAAATCTATGCAAAAAAGCACCTTGTTTTCAATGTTTATTCTTTTTCCTTGATTTTTTCTTTATTGTTTTTGCAATATGATGAGTGTGGGGAAAAAAAGTCAGCATTTCCCTTAAGATCATAATACCTTACACTTCTAAAGTACATGTACTCTAGTGAATAGTTTAACAGTGCAGAAGTAGCATTTAATTTAATCTGATTTTTTTTTTAACTCTCAAATAAAAAGCTTCTGCTAATATTTTTTTTTAATTTGTCATTGAAACAAAAGTATTGAAAAAATTATTCAGTAAACTAATCTTTGAGCCGCTCTTATTACAAAACATTGGTTGTTAAGGCAGTAATTCTATAATTGTTTGCAACTGGGGATGTCATTGTGCATTTCTGGAGCACTTTGCTATCCACAGAAACGCATTTGTAGAAATGAGTTCTCAGTTAGCTCCTTAGAGTCTGAGCCATCTCTTCTACTCTTAGCATATTTCCAAGCAGTATGTTACTGTTGTCCAATACTTTTGTCTTTAACTTGATGTATTTAATGTTTTATTTCAATGTACTTTCTTCTTTAACAGGAAAAAAGCAACATGGAAATAGATATGACATATAAATTCAAAGTTATGCAGCAGAACCTAGAACAAGAAGAAGCTGAACATAAAGCCACAAAAGCACGATTAGCAGACAAAAATAAGATCTATGAGTCTATAGAGGAAGCAAAATCTGAAGCCATGAAAGGTATGTATTTGACATTATGGCTGGACGTAGGTATAAATTATACATAGTAGACAACATAATCTTGTAATGCTAGTGGAAGCCTAAGTGTAGGCTGTTTTCCTTGATTACCCTGTTCTTTATAAATATAATTAGTGTCATAAAAATCGGTCATATTCCCTTTATCCTTGCTTTGCTAGGTTAAAGACACACTGTTTTAGTCTCGGAGTAAAACAGCTTCTCCATTGCACACCACTAATTCATTTTCTGTGCTAGTGTATTCAGAACTAATTTTTCTGAAATTTATGTTACTAAAATTGCTTGAAACGTCTTAGTTACGAGCTTATCTTTGTTCTTACTCAGTGTACTTATACCTTTTTTTGTGACTTCCTAAATAAAGTATATGTTCAGCAAGTTAACAATTTAAATATGTAGACCAGATGGAGTTAGAAATAGCAAAGCCTTCGCTGGGCTTCTGTAGTCACCATGCATATTCTGGTGCATCGTATGACAATTGAAATATCTTAGAGGGATAATTAGCAAACAATTCCAGAAGATGGGCTCTTACTTTTGAATTAAATGGCTTATGTTCAGCTACTTAAAAATCTACCTGCAGATCCTGTCTTTCGAACTGCAGAGATTCACAAAAATTTTGAGCATGCAGATGTTCAAACGAAACAGAAATGATTCTGTAATAAAGGCTGAATCACTTGGCATATCAGGTTCCTGAACAGCTTCGACTCTTTAAATGATTTCAAATTATCATAGTCAAAGCAACACTTCAGTAGATTTAGATGGATTATTTTTTAAAATCCACCCTTTTTATCCATCTCAGATGTGTTGCAGATAAACTGGAAGTTATCTTGAAACTCAAAAGTGGGCAATAGCTATCAATCAGGAATGCTTGTAAAGCATCCTGTGGGTGTGGGTTTACTGTGAAGATTTTAATGAATCACTTTTCATCAATCTTTCTTTTCAGTGTTAAAAGGATAAACTTGTTGCTTATTGTTCATATGCAATAGGCGTCCTCCTCTCCTCACCCTCCAAAATCCCCTGGTTTACACTGACTGATGTCTTAAATCTCTTTCTTCACAGAAATGGAGAAGAAGCTTTTGGAAGAGAGAGCTTTAAAGCAAAAAGTAGAAAATCGGCTGTTAGAAGCTGAAAAGCAGCGTTCCATGTTGGACTGTGATCTCAAACAATCACAACAGAAAATCAATGAGCTCCTTAGGCAAAAGGATATACTAAATGAAGATGTAAGGAACAATGACAAAAGGAGTCGAGTGTAACCTAATTGTCAATGTCATGATGTTTTCCCTGTTAAAGCTATATTTAGGAATGCTTGTGAATGAAAACGGCAGCAACTTTTTCCTTCTCTGTATTTCGAGCTTTAAAAAGTCTACTTTACTGAGCGTGGTTTCATTTTGCTGAAATGCTTCAGCATTATTGATCTTAAAAAGGTTTTTTCCTGCAATGTAAAATGTTGTGAGATTGACATGGAAAAACTAGGTTGTTTGTTCTATGCTAATGCCTTTATTCAGGAAACAGCTTTGACATCAGAAGATGTGAGCATGTTGTACAAAAATGTAGAGGAAATCAATAAGAGACACAGTTTAAATGTTGCTTTCCTGTGTAGGTCTGTAAAATTCACAGGTTGGTTTATACTTGTTTATTTTTCAGGTAAAAAACCTGACATTAAAAATAGAGCAAGAAACACAAAAGCGCTGTCTCACTCAAAATGACCTCAAGATGCAAACGCAACAGGTCAACACCCTGAAAATGTCAGAGAAGCAGTTAAAACAGGAGAATAACCATCTTCAGGAAATCAAATTAAGTCTGGAAAAGCAAAATAATGAACTTCGCAAGTACGCAGAGTTGCTCTATATTTTTTAGTAATGTTACTGATTTGTAATTGTTGTTGGGCAAAAGCTGAGAACGATATTAATTTTAAAAATTTGCTGCACAGAATATGCTATTCTACAGTGCAAAACTTAATTGTTTAAAATAATTTACAGTGACTCTAGTTGAGATTTCCCTAGTGATTCAGTGGTGTATACTTTTGTACTAAAAGATGTTATTATCCTGAAAATCTTAAAAACCCAGCTTAAAGACAAGAGCGTGAGGACTTCAGAGAAACACATACTTAATAGAAAATCTAGGTACTTTTTTTTTTTTTAAATTATGTAGAACTTCAGTAAAGAGGCAAGTTACTGGCATTATTAGCCCATGAGAGCTTTAGAGTAGGAAATGAATACTAATACAGAGCTGTGAAACGTAAGCATTGGAAATATTCAGTACTAAAGATGTTTAAACACATCTGTTGGACCTTCAAATAGTAGTTGTGTTAAATCCCAGCAGTTCTTCAAGGTCTTACAAGTAATATTCGCACCTGATAATAATTAATTAATTAATCCCCCCCTAAAGAACATTCTAGTGAATGAACAGACAAGTTTAGCACATATATCAGATGAAACGCATTCTTAATTCCTTTATGACTTTCTGATGGTTTATCTCCTGGTACTTTTATCTTTTCTGTCAGCAAGATGCAGTTACTTGTGTAGAAGGCAGCTCCACATGAGAGTTGCTGTCATGTGAAACACTGGCAGAAATCTTTTTTTTGTTATGGGACTGACTAATTGACTTTCTGTGTTGTTTTAATAACAGATGAATTCAAAAACTGATGCACGTCAAAGAACAGAGACATGTTTTCACAGACTGTGCTCTTGCAAACAAGAGACCCCAAAAAATCTGTCAGAACGTTAACGTTTTACATGGAAATAAGATTCTGTTGGTGGCTGTTTGTTTTATCAGTTCTATCAGATTAAACTATGTGACACTGTTGTAGTTAGTGTGTTAACAGTATCAAACTGACTTCTTACGAGTGCGGTATTCTCAGCTGTGCAAGTGAAAAAGAGAGCTGGTACCCAGAGGAAGCCTCAGGTTTAACTGCTGACCATACTTTGGTCAGGAAATGACTGAAGATCGTAAGAGTGTGAATGTTGCCTTCTCCATTTACTGGTTTGGAATATCTTCATATCTTCTAAAATATGTTATTCCTTTCTAGGGAACGTCAAGATGCAGATGGACAAATGAAAGAGCTTCAAGACCAGCTTGAAGCTGAACAGTACTTCTCAGTATGTTTTATACTTCTTTATTTTTATACTAACCTGTTTACTAAGTTTAGTGTTAGCTTTTCTTCTTCGCCCTCAGCTGTCAAGCATTTCACATCTCTAACTTAATTCTTTTTCTTGTTTATGCCTTCAGTCTTGTCTGCAGCATTGTCGTCACTCCTTGCTCCTGATCACTGCATAGTATGAAAGAGCTCAGCTCACGTTAAGAAATGTTCCAGCTTTGGAAGGGAGTCCTAAACAGAGTTTAGAGGGAGGGAGGAGTCAAGGAGTTAATTCCTTCTCTTCCACAGCGTAAATAATTTTCTGCATGTTTCAGGCCTTTTGCAGTCAGCATCTCTTCCATGCTGCATGGAAGAGAAGAGCTGTATTCTCAGCATCACGTGGTGTTGACCAAACATGTACATTTAAGGCTCGGAAGGAAATTTTTGCAGTACAGCCAAACTTGGTAGACATCTGTTGGGAGCTTTTGCTTTATTGTGATAGTGTACAACGGAATAAATAGGTATGATACTTAAAAATCATCACTAGCATATGAAGGTTAATTAATTTTAACAGTGCACATCCAGCTACACTGCAGGTAAAGACCAAAAGGCTTGCTTCAGAATGTAAGGAAACTTAAGATTTTACTGTGGTCTTTATGTCAGTGAGGAGAAGGGCTATCTGAAGTTTTAGTAGATCAAAAAGTTGCACGCATTGAAGGAGAGAAAGGGAGATTTGGGGTCAGCTGACTGCTGTGGATGGGCCAGGGAGAGACAGTCTGTCTTGAAAGCCCTGCAGTAAATCCACTTGGAGTTGTCTGTCACTTCACCTGTATTCAGTCATTTGAGTGTACAGAGCAATATAATTTTTCTTTAATTTCCTTTAGAGCTCTCGATTTATATCCATTTTGCAAAATTTTGAATTTCAGATGCTTTTCTAATCTACTTTTTTTTCTTTCTCCTATACTTCTTTTTGGTCTTTAAATGTCATGTTGTTTTCATGGATTTGTATGGTTAAAGTCTAAATTTTACATACCTACCTATATCAGACAAAGATTTAAAATAGTAGAGAAAAAGAAATTAATTATTTTCCTTGCTTCAGATACCTCTAATTTTCTATCAAACAGTGATTTTCACACTGAGAGTTTCTTTAACAATATGTTTACAAACATACAAAATGTATATCATATATCTATCCATTCACAAATATACAAGTTAAAAAAAAAAAATATAACCAAAACATATTTGGGAATGATGATGACGTTTAATTAAATTTAGAGAAGGCATTGCACAATTATACCACAATTGTACACTTAGTGTGTGATTAGAGAATTGCATACAATGTCATCTTGTATCATTTTCTGTGTACCTTCAAGCTAGAATATGCAAGTCATGTCCTTTTCTTTCCAACTTTAAATTCTAGACTCTGTATAAGACGCAAGTTCGAGAACTTAAAGAAGAATGTGAGGAAAAGACCAAACTTTGTAAAGAAATGCAGCAAAAGATACAAGAGTTACAGGATGAGAGGTTGATTTTACGAGTTATACTACTAATACATAAAAGATTAAGATGGCTTTTTGTAGTTTTCTTCTTTTTTTCTACCACCACCACC